AGACGCTTAAAGTAATTAGGGTTTTCTTCATTTAGCTGACAGGTACAACTTAGTTTACGTTCCGAGTTTTCAATATATTATGCATGAGCGCTTTTAAGAGATTTTATTTCTTAATCAGTATTCATTCAGGGGCATCCAATTTAGCAGAGCTAGTTTAAATGGAGCCCTTAGTAAACTTAGTTTTGATTCCTGATTCTTGATCATTTATTGTCATTTTTTATAGAACCAATTACATTCGTTTTCGTGGGTGACGTCGCTTTTTCTGGGCCAGGGCGATTTATATTATGTGGAAAATGGCCATTATTCGTACAATCACTCGTTTAAAGATGTGGCCAAATACATCGGAGAAGCGGATGTCTCTGTGGCGAATCTAGAATCTCCCTTTGTAGACCGTGAATCGTACAGAAACTTTAATGGGAAGAAGGCCTTCGTGTTAGATGCAAGTGCAGATGCTGCTTCGTCATTAAGGTAAATTTTGTTGCTTTGAAAACTATATTAACTATAATATATAGATTTAGCCAGGGCTAAAAGCGAAGCTCTCGTTTATAAATTCATAATGTAAATCAAACAATAAACTTGCAATCCACAGATCAGGGCACATTCATTTGACTTTTGAGGCAAAGGCTAAGTGATTTTAGAGAAAAATAATTTGACAGTCCAAGAGTGAAACAAATTTTACATCGAGTTATTAAATAGTCTTATTTGTACACCCAAGATAGCAATCATGTTCGATCACAGTAGATTAGGCCTGGAAAACAAATAGATCTATTGTATTTGCATTAGCTGTTGCATCATAATGTGGCATTCACCAGTCTCTCCAACATTGCTCCGTTAGAGAGACTATGGATAATTGGACAACCCCGAAATATAATTTTAAGAAACACGCGCGCCACGATAGTCCTTGGTGGCAGCCAATTTACACGTTGCATTCCTCTGTCTAAAAGAGAGGCGAAAATAAAAAATCAGGCCGGATTTTTTGCGTTCGACAAGTTTAGTTTACTAGTAAATCTTGGCGACGAATCTGGTGGCGTGTAAACCAGCCTTATAAACATACTTTTTCTCATCACGTCTCAGGTAAACAGTACTCTGAGGCCCTGTTTTACCATACAGACCTCGGACAGAATTTTTTCTTTTTTGCCCTATTTAAACCTATAATTCGGCAGTTTTTCACAATTTTGCAAGAGAATTTGCACTCATTCAATATCCACGATGACCAAAGCACGCGCTTCCTTTGCACAACAAATTATAGCGTTGAATTTTAAAACGTTGTCATGAAGAGAATTCTCAGATAATGCCGGGACTTTTCAGTTAGAAAAATCTGGTCCTATGTGATATGCAGGGGAATAATTACGGGCTTTAAATGAAAACGATAAAAAAAATTCCCCAAATCACTTTTCGGCCAGCCGGACGGGTTCTCACTTTTGACAGGCACCAAATTTTCAGTGCGACTAATAAAGTTACCATTTACGCTTCAACGTGATAGAGAAATTGTTATGTTTAGGTTTTATTTCCCTTTATTTAGTAAACTGTGTATGGTTTTATTATTTATAATCTTTAAAAGCGAGTGATATTTACGGGCGGCGTTTTGAGTATTCCTGCATGCGGTGTTTATGTTCGAATGGAAACAACCAGTGCAGCGATAAAAATGGCGAGAGAGACTACTAACAATCAATAAAATAAACATAATTCGGTGAAACATGTACAGAGACAACAATTTTCATTCACGAAGAGAATTATTGAGAGTAAAGTGTCTCTGAAAATCATGAGTCAGCTACACATAAGCTTATTTATTTTTTAAGCCGGCTCCCGGTGTTTGCTCTTTTTCAAGATGAACTCGAGGCAAGAAAATCGCTCAGAGCTTTCTGTTTACAGCCAAAATTATAACTAAATAATCTTCGGAACCTTTTCTTTGAATATGCGGTCAAAAAATGTATAAAGGCTTTTTAAACCTGATACTATTGTAGGTTACATCATTGCTCGTGTATAAACTTAAGCCGCATAAACCATACGCTCGACTTCAGGAAACCGAAAAAAAAAAACACAACAAAGACAATAATTGCTCAGGCTTACCAGTCGAGATGCTGCTTCTGAAGGTCATCAAGTGTTCCAGAATCGCTTGAGACTTTTCAACCCTCTTACGCCTCAAGCAAGGGCAAGTGAGTAAGCTCATTTTTGAAAACGATGCCATCCAAAATCGGATTTCCAAAGACTTTGACAAGCGGTGCATTTGTGAAAAAAAAGCGCAATAAACAAACCAGCCATGAATTATAGAACAATCTTGATAGCAGCTGTATTTCATTTTGTACACCAAGTAGAAAAAGACAGTTTAAAACATCACAAGATGAGACAAAACTCTGTCAGCTCCAGCTATCAGTAAGCAAGTTTCCAGACGCTGCATAAATTTTCCGCGTGAACTCACCTGTCAAATTTTGACCAATCAGAACATAAGAATTGGACGTAGAGCGAGATCAACGCGTGACAGTGAGAAAAGTCAAAAGCG